AAAAAAAAAAAAAAAAAAAAAAAAAAAAAAAAAGGAAGAAAATATGAAAAGTGAAAGACTGAAAGATTCAGACAGAAAAACATTTTCACAGCAGTTTTACCTCCTGCAACACAGAGGGTAGTGTACCACCCTCGCTGAGCCTGCCCCAGCCGGTGACTGTTGCATTTTCGCCGATCAAGAGATCGTCAGTCGCTGGCAGACAAATCGGTGAAATATGCGGGGCGAACGTCAACGAGCTCTCCAATCGGACCAATGCCAGATCGTACTCGTAAGTGAAGAAGTTGTACTTCGGGTGCACCACTTTCTTCGCGACTCCACGCTCCACGTAAGGCAATCGTTCCTGCACCGACGAAAAATCGTACTCGCCCACTCTGATGCGGATCTGCGAGGTCAGCAGGCTGCAAAAGAACCGATAACGATGATTTGTTCCGTTTTTGCGTTCTAACGAGGCGTAGAAGAAATGGAAGAGATTGCTCCACGATCTGTATTCGGGTTAATCGAGGCTAATTCTCTATCTATCCACATTTGCATTCACTCACGTAATCGTAACAGGAAGCAATTATGTACTTCGATCGCGCTTCTCCTCCCGTGATCAACGCTCTTCGATCATCTTTCTTCATGCTTTTTCATTGGAATTTTTTGATGAACGTATCATATCTTTGGGAGGTTTTTATTGCATCATCATCATTGCTACTTTACTCTCACTGTTCGAAGAATGTCTTGGTCTTTCGAATCTTTGGTAGTTTTGAACTTTCGTACGTTCTCTAGATTATTTCAACGTGATTCTAAAAACGAGATTTTAAAAAGATCCTGTTGTATGTATATATATGTTTAAACACATCTGTGTATTATTGTTAGTATCGTACTCCAATGACGTGTTACAAGGTCAAAGTTTTAAAAGAAATTTTAGAAATTAGAAATTAATCTCGGTTATCGTAAAATCAGAATAATCGGAAATAAATTGCGATTATATTTCTCTCTTACAAGGAGACAAGATATTCTAAAAAAAATTGATATCATATAACTGCGAACGAGAGTCGCTTTATATTTCCTAAAATAATTTCAGTTATTTTGGTCTTTCATTTTGATTCTTTTGATTAATTTTACGATCCCGCTGTATCGCTTCCGCCGGTCATCACCGCGTCTGCGACACGAGTTTACTAGTTTTACTAACGAGTCTACCAGCAAACCACGAATGAAACACATTATTAACACGTTCACGACGAAGCATATATGCAGAATGTTTGTACTAGGCTATTTATTAGCGCTACACGTGTGCATTCTACACGCTGTAAGATTTCTAACCAACGAGTAAAGAGCTAGTAACTCGTTGGTGACTTCAAGATCTCAGATAATATAGGAAGTCGATGGGTGAATTTACCATTTACTGGCTACGAGTAACCGTACATGTAGTGCCAGCCATAAATATCGAGGCATCCACTGATATTTAGCATAAATTCGAATGCTTTTTACTGTTTTAGAAACTGACACGAACCGATCAAGTAAGTTTTTCTTTTTTTTTTAAGAGAAGCAAGAAATTCGAATTCGTCTCAAAGTAAAAAGGAAATACCTTCGAAGTAAGAAAGAAAAAATCTATACCCTCGTGCGAAAGTTTTAGAAGTTCTATATACCTACATGCATACAACACTTTAATATATTTACAAATTTTAATTTCTTTTTCTAATTACTGAGTATTCGTGAGAACTTTCAACGCGAGGAAAATGGAAAAGTGTGCAACAAAAATAAAATTCATATTGGAATTCAGGAACGTTGAGATTAGATAAATCTAATTGATCCTTTCGAAATTCTTCTGTTACTTTAGTCGTTTTCAAATGCAAGATAGATTTCCATCGATCAAAATTATGTATTAGACGTATCCGCACGTATTTATACTGATAGAGAAACGTTTTTGCTTCTTTTATACGTGATTTTCAAACGTTCATGTTTCTTCTTTTCGTGTAGAATCGGGGATTCTCTTGACAGTAAAACAACCAAGCTTTCATAATGTATCAAATTATTCCACGTACAAACAGATTTATAAATTTACCATTATTACAATTTTTATGTTTCTACGTTTTTATCTAAATAGAAGTTATTGTAGCAAGAAAAGAAAATTTGAAATCGACGTAAGAGACATGTACATACAAAACCACGTAAATACTAGAAATAGAATAGAACGTATACAGTGTAAAAGAAATACTTATACTGCGCGTAATATTGAAATTACGAAACAACATCGAAATTGAAAAATCGAAAAAACGATCCACGAAAATATTTGAATAATTAATATTCCGATGGAATAATAATTGAATGATTGGCAATCAACGAGCTTCTACTCACTCGTCCACGCAGTGTCCAGCAGTGGCGATCCAGTTCTCGTTAAGCACCGCTCCTCCGCATCTGTGAGTACTGGAGAAGCCGAAGAACGACGTACGCCTGACAGATACCTGCCAAGGCCATCGACCGAACGGCGCGTCCTTGCCTCCAACTATCCTGGTCTCCGGTCTCGGGAACAGGGGCGGTACCCCGCACTGCATACCCTTGCTCTCGGTTGCGGCAGACACGGTCAACACCGATCCAGTTTTCGCGATCGTCTCGGTCGTAGACGACGCTGTCGTCGTGTCAGGTTTTGGAGTGGTCGTGGTCGTGGTGGTCGTAGTGGTCGTAGTGGTACTGGTAGTAGTGGTGGTGGTCGTAGTAGTGGTGCTGGTGGTCGTCGTCGTAGACGTGGTGGTTTTCTTCGTGGGTCTAGGCCTAGCAGACGTCTCGAAATGAGACGTGGTGATGTAATGCGCTGCGCCAAGTGGTTTGTGGAGCTCCGTGTTCTATGGAAAAAAAAAGAAAAAAAGAAATACGTAGGTAAATACAAACAAGCAAACATTTCTGCAAAAATGGAGGAGAAGTATTTCGATTTCCCCAAGCGTTAGAAGTAAGACAGAAAGATTTACACCGACATCTCGATTATTCTAATTCAAATTTTGATGCTTCCCGCGGCAAAACAAACATTTTTCGAACTTCTTGCAAGAACTACTTGCTAGAAGATAGAAAAGATACATTTTCCACAAAATGCAAAATATTTCTCAATTTCTCCTATTTTCTAAATTTCGCTGTCAACGTTCTCGACTTCAGCTCGACACGAAGTTTGCCAGGTGATGGATAGAGTTATTCGGTATCACGGTGTTCAATCGACTGTGTAATCGAGTCGAAGACCGATCTTTGCCGTTTCTTTGTTGCGATTAACAGTAATTTCTGGCAAAAAGTCCGCGCTACGCTGCGTATTTTCCTTCGTCTCGGCGAAAAACGGTGTTCTTTTTTTCCTACGACGAATACCGATAGAATCTAACAGCACCGCGGGGTACGGAGAGTAGGCTGTTGATCGAGGATATAACACGATGAAGCTGTTCCTTCGAGGGGAACCAATTTCTAGATAAGACGCGGAAGCATTATATCTTTCGTACAGGGAAGAGGCGTTCGTGATTATGACCAGCGGCGCGAGCTAAAGATCCGTCAGTTATTCGAGAATTCCATGAAATTTCACGGGCACGTGAAATTATAACGAAATGATCTATCATGTGTGTACAGTGGTAGCTTTGCTAATTGGCCACGGGATTCAGATCTTATGCGAATAGTTATCTCAAGAGAGATATACGCTGGATAAAATTACTATTATGTCCTCATTATTGTGAAAACGAGGAATTATACTGAAATGATCTATCTCGGCAGTGGTCTGTTAATTGGCCACGGATAAAGATCTTGTTTGAACAGTTATCGAAGAAGATAGAGGCTGGATGAAATTATTATTCCTTCGCGAGCTTATTTCAATCGGTTGACGCTGATAGTTAGTTTAAAATTTGATTGATTTTTCTCGTGATTCCTTTTCTTTTTTTTTTTTTTTTTTTTTACAGAAGAATACGAAAATTGTTTTATGGAACCATTTGAATTTATAAAGAAGATGAAGATGTAAACTTTAATGAAGTTGGCTTTCGAGAAATATTGTGAATCAAAGTGACATAGAAAATTCTTTCAATGACCCCTACCTTACTTTATAATAGCAGAAGATTATTATGTATATGATTTCAATCCCAGGAACTACGAGGATAGCGATGGCCAATTAACGAAGCAAATTATCAGTCAACTACTATGTTTAAATAGTTATTCGAATGATTGTAGAAATCTCATGATGAATCTTATAAGAATAC